GGAGGCAAACCACAAGATTCTTTAATGCAGAGAACAAACTAAAGGTGGGTGGGGAGATGGGGGAGAGGGAAAATGAGAGATGGGCATTGAGGAGGGCACTTGTTGGGATGAGCACTGGATGTCGTATGTAACCCAACTGACACTAAATTATATTCATAAAAAAATAAAAAAAAATAAATATAAAATTCTCCTCAACATATGATTTTGGGAAAACTAGACAGCAACATACAAACAAACAAAAATGGACAACTTTCTTACAACATATGCAAAAATAAATTCCAAATGGATGAAGACCTATGTGTGAAACATGAAACCATAAAAACCCCAGAGGAGAACACAGGCAGTAACTTATTTGACATTGGCTGCATCAAATTCTTTGTAGATATGTCCCCTGAAGTAAGGGAAACACAAGCAAAAATAATGGGACTTCATAAAAATAAAAAGCCTCTATCGCAAAGGAAACAATCAACAAAACTAAAATGCAACCTGCAGAATGGAAGATATTTGCAAATAACATCTGATAAAGGGTTCCTATTGAAAATATATAAAGTTATACAACACCCAAAAAATGAGAAATCCAAATAAAATTGGGTAGAAGACATGAATAGACATTTTCCCAAAGAAGACATACAGACAGCCATGAAAATATGCTCAACAACACTGATCATCAGGGAAATATAATGCAAAAGTACAATGAGCTAACACCTCACATCTGTCAGAATGACTAAAATCAATGAATGATGAAACAACAGGTGTTGCCAAGGATGTGGCGAAAGAGGAACGCTCTTGCACTGTTGGTAGGAATGCAAACTTGTGTAGCCACTCTGGAAAACATTATGGAGATTCCTCAAAAAATTGAAAATAGAACAACCTAGAAATTTCACTGTGAGGTGTTTCCACAAAGAATACAAAAATAATACTTCAAAGGGACACACGCACCTTGATGTTTATAGCAGCATTTTCTACAACAGCCACACTATGGAAACTGCTCAAGTATCCATCAGCTGATGAATAAATTGAGATGTAGTAGATGGAATGGAATATTATTCAGCAGTTAAAAAGTGAGACCTTGTCATTTGCAACAAGATGGATGGAGCTAGAGAATGTTATGCTGGGTGAAATAAGCCTGTCAGAGAAAGACAACCATGATTTCACTAACACTTGAAAATGAAACAAACAAAGGGGGGGGGGGGGGGGAGACCGCCACAAACAGACTCTTAACTAACACAAACTGAGGATTTGCACAGTGGGGTGGGGAATGGGTGAAACAGGTGATGGGGATTAAGGAGGGCACACGTGAGGGGCACTCAGAGATGTGTGGAAATGCTGCTCTATATTGTACACCTGAAACTAATATTACACTACATCCTTACTAGCTAAAACTTAAATTAAAAATTAACGTAAGGTTTATTACACTACCTACCAGGTTTTCTCTAGTTTTCATTAATTCACCATGTTTGAAAAATAACCATTAATTTTTAAGAAGCATGAATGATATGGGGGGGGAGTTTGTGCCTTTACCTCGGGCTCTGGTTCCAGCAGGACTCGGAAAGTGGGTCTCAGCTCATTCTTCCAGAAGGTCCTGAGAGTCAACATTTCCTGTCTTCACTACCCAACTGAATGCTGCTCCCATTCCTCCAAATTTGTGTCAGGATTTCTCCCCCCAAAACAAGCCTGAATCTGGAACAAACCAACCCCAGCATCTCTGACGTGGCATCGCAGGACCCCCTGAATCCACGGATCCTTGACTGAAAAACATCTTGTTCAAATCTCGGCAGGGAAAACGAGGAACAAACCATGGAACAGCCCAGAAAATGCAAGTGGCTGAGCAGCTCACTGACCATCAGGTGCCTCACTGACCATCAGGGAAGCTACCCAGCGCCCCTCCTCGGTACTCAGCCCCACCACTGAGGAGACGCCAAGTTGCTGCGAAGCGTCCAGGGTCTCCCCGAGGCCGGCGGTGGAACCTGCTGGAAACCCAGCTCTGGCTCTTTGCCCACAGTCACAGGCACTGGGTCCTCAGGAGCAACGGGAACCTTTCCTGCTCTGAGCCGCCCAGAATCAGAAAAGCCTAATTGGGCGCCTTCTCCAGCCTTCGCTGAGCGCGCAAAGAACCGGCCCCTCCCTGTTCGCGGTGCGTGCGCGCCCTCTGCTGGCCTCCGTGGGAATTCCTGTAATGCTCAAGGCCATGGCCGCTCAGCTGAAAGTATTGAGGGTGCAGCTGGTCCAGTTAAGCCTGTTCTCCAGATTAGAATGGGTCTTAGTCACAGGGCCTGGGACCCAAAAAGAATCTTTTCCTTCTTCTGTTCAGTGAGTGAAGAACGAAACCGAATTTATTAATGTCATGATATAATTTGTAACGCTTTAAGCAACATTCAAAGAAATACAGACTACAAATTTACACATGCTGAACTACAGGTAATTGTGTTTACCACCAAAATACTTGGGTTAAATAAAAATTGCCACCTTGGAGAAAGAGATACAGGCTTCCAGCTATGGAATGAATATGTCACTGAGATACAAGGTACAGCCTATGGAATATAGTCAATCCTATAATAAAGTGTTGCATGCTTTCACATGATAGCTACACTTGTGTAGGTATATGGAGAGCATAACGTAGAGACACGGAATCACTATGATGTATACCTGAAACTAATACAACATGGTGTGTCCACTATATTTCAATAAAAAATTGACATTATTTTAAATTTTCCTTCATTAAAAAAATTATTTCTAATGAGAACGTATGAAATTCCATTTATACCACATTCTCTAATGTCACCATCTTGATGTTGAGAGCTTATTTTTCAAGTTGTCAATAATATGTTTGATGACACAAATGTGACAAGGTCAGAATGCATACCTAGAGGGAGTTACACATCTGTTATGAATTTCCTGCCTGTATATGGGTAATATTTTCAATGAAAGGTGATTCAGGGATGAAGACAGATGAAATAATTTCCATGAGACTCATAGGTAGATAATTGTGCCTTCAAATAGTAAATGCCATCTCTTCACTATCAGAGGAAGGCTGGGTGAAGAAATAGGTTTCTCCTTTCATGTGAGAGAAGGCTGTGGTGGTTTAAACTGCTCGCTTACAATCCAGAATCCTGGGACCAGCAGTAGATGTAAGAATAGCAACCCCCTATCATGTTGCACATAACTAGTGCTAGAAGGAGAATATGGACCTTATTCTCAAATACTTTTGGTTGAGATCAATAATCCATCTGTGCAAGTTCCAGGCTATAGGCTCTGGGGGCAGCACAATGCCTGACGCCTGGCTGTGGAACATAAGGAAGGTCATGCTGGAGCAGTGGGGAAGAGAGCAGGGACTGGGGGAAGTGGCGGAGACAGATCATGGTTACCTCCCCATGGGACACACTCTGGACTTTACCTGCTAATGAACTGCATGCTCTCCCTCAAGCCATTTCTCTCCATGACCGTCCCTGAGACTGGGCCCCAACACGCCAGGCAAAATGAGGGGGACCCATCTTCCCAGGGGCAATGGCCTGTACAGAACTTGCCCCAGTGAGGTTGGAGCCTTGAACTGAGGGAACTGTAATGCCCAGGTTTCCTACCCTTTCTGCCTCCGACCCTAAGAGCATCTTCACAGAGCCCCTTTTGCGTGGCCTATAGCCCCCTCCGCACACTGTGACCAGCTCCGTCCTTTCCTCTGTGCTTCATTTCTGTCTTTGCTTCTCCCTACCCCTGTCTCCCTCTGTTTCTTTCTCTCACTCTCTAGGACTTGCGCAATTCCCCCATCACTCACTGTCTCTTTTCCTACCTGTCTCTTTCTCTGCCTCTCCCCAGGCCTCGTGCCTTCTGTTCTGTGCAGCCCTGTCCAGGGATCAGGGCACCACATATCTGTGTCCCCCTCTCTCCTGTCATGTTTTAAGCCCAGGCCCTGATCACAGTGGATGAAAGTCCTCTTTATAGAAGCTGCAAATGATGACGTTTACTGCAGCACTGCTGTTCCCAGACACTCCCGGGAAGCATGTGGACAGCCAGACCTTGACCCCTTGGTGGCCCAGCCATGATCCCAAAGATGCTGGAGGGCTGGTTACCTCCACAACCTGGGAGAAAGGAGGGCCCTGCAGGTGTCAGGGGCTCTGGAGAAGAGTGCATGGGGTTTGAGGATCTGGAAAGAGCCAGATGCTTACAACCAACTCCTCCATGGTGGTGAAGAAGGAACGGGTATCATGTCATGGACCTCTGCCCTGCCCATCCCTCACTAAGGAAACAGTGGGAGGAGGGGAGCCTGGGTGGCTCAGTCAGTTAAGCATCTGACTTTGGCTCAGATTTGATCTCGTGAGTTGTGAGTTTGAGCCTCTGGTCGGGTTCTGGGCTGACAGCTCAGAGCCTGGAGCCTGTTTTGGATTCTATGTCTCCCTCTCTCCCTCTCTGCCCCTCCCTTGCTTGTGCTCTGTATTTCTCTCTAGTTCAAAAAAATAAACAAACATTGCAAAAATTAGAAGAAAAAAAGAAAGCACTGGGAGAAATATGGGACATCATAAGACTCACCCTGAAAACTACTACCACTAGTCTACCTCAGCTCCCACCTGGATTAGTGCTACTGTGAGGTAGCTCGTAGGTGGGAAAAGTCCCCAACACCTGGATTAATGCAGGGTTTCCTCATTGTTCTACCAGAGACACTGCTGACCCCTCATCCATTTCTTGCAATCAGAAATCAGCCACTCCCTGGGGACTGATGGCTGTCTTGCTGATCACCACACACCACTGTGACTAGCAGGTGCCGTGTGCTTGTGAGTATCTAGTGAGGAGTGAACACAACCATCACCAGATCTAGATGAAGGTTGTGTCCACCACCCCAGAAGGATCCAGGGGGACATGCGCAGTCACTACAATTCAAATAATGACTTGTCTTCTGTCCCTATTACTGTAGATTCTACCTGTTTGTGACAGTGTATACAGGAGTCACACTGTGTGCATCAAAATAGAATGACCGTAGGTCCTCCTGGAAGCAGACACTGACACAGAGGCAGAACTATGATGGGTTTATTACAGGAAACAAGGACAGACAAAATAGAGGGGACAGGAATGGTCAGGGAAAGGATTCATTCAAATATGCGTATCAGACAACTTTTCTCAATATATCACATCGCCACAGCCTATTGGTCACAGTTTAGGGTCCTCTTCAAACTTCAAGTTGTCCTGAAAGGCAAAGAGATTTTGGGTTATAGCAATGGGATCTTCTGTTCTCCTCTATGCGTTTTGTCCTTGAAAATATACCTTGGATGAACACTTAATTGTGTGGCTGCATCTGTGTGTCTACCAGTAATGGAAGATGATTGTCTTCAGGTCTGAGATATAGATCCCTGAATGTACACTTTCTCATAGTTATCTTTTCCTCCTGTGTGAAGTAGGACCTGAATTCTAATAGGGAAAACACAGGGGTCTTTGCTGTATCTTTTGAAACAGGGATTGCCAATCTCTCAGCCTCAGGCATTATACTCTTAGTTTAATGGAATTGAATGAACATCTCTTGATGAGCTTCTGTGTGGAGATACCTTCATTTACACACTGAGGAGGTGAGTGCCCACTCATCCCATTTATTTTACAAATTCCTTATGTGGTTGTCACCTCTTCATCATACGGATCTCAGAACCCAACACTATCCCTGTTTCTCAGATAACAAAGCTGAGGTTCTGAGATGGCTCCACTGGGAGCTGGTATTAGGGATGAGACAGCAGGAACACAGGCAAAGCCTCAGGATATTGTGAGGGAAGTTTCAGAGATGAAAACTTGCAGGCAGGGTGATGACAGCAGATGCAGGTGTGTGGTGACAGGAGTCCAGCAGGGGCGGCTTCTGGTCAATCCTGAATCCCCACTAAGAGTCTGACTCAGGCTGAAGGCCAAGGAAGCCGCTCAGTTGATCTACAATCTGTCTTCACCTTTAGTCTCACTGAGACACACAAACTTAGGCATTTCCTATGACCAAGTTTAATTTCCCAAATCTCCAGCACATTCTTTCATACGTGTCCAGACCTTTCAGAAACCCAAGGGAAACAACAAACTGTATTTAGATTATGAACTATGTGCACTGCGGTAAAGTTGACATTTTGGAGATGATGACTGCATTGTACACTGTGCTTGCACCCATGAAGCAGTTCTTTGCAGATCTCATGTTGTCCTCAAGCTCCCTGCCCAGGCTGTGGGCCCTGCCAGGAATGGCTTCCAACTCCAACCTACTGTCCCCAACAGCCTCTCCTCCACACCTCCTCAAACTCTGCTTACCTTCCACAAATTTCCTTCTATTCCTGTGTGATTCAAGTTTCCCCCATTCCTTCACTGGTGCTTCCATTATGGTGATCACAAGGTCTGTGTCATATAACGCATGTGCCCCATTTCACACAGGACACCTGAGGCACCTAAATTTAGGGGTGCACCTCATCCTTCACAGAACCCACAACATTGTGTCTGTAAAAAACACACCAGTAGCTCTGATACCTCTCCCTTTGTGTAAACATCCTCTTTCTTTTCGACAAGAGAAACCTATAGCTCACCTCATTACAGGGAAATGACACAGACCATTGTATGTAAGTCCTGAGAAACTTGAGATATGTTACAGTGTCCTTAGCCAGGTTTGCAGGTGGGTTGCCAAGACTCAGAACCATCATTACATCATTCCCACCAAGTGTTTCATGAAGAAGATGCATGTGCTTTACCAGTCACTCATCCAGGCCAGGTCATCTTACCAAATGGAGTAGGTGGAGGAGCTGGTGGAGGAGGGGGAGGTGGCCCACAGCCCTTGGCTGGTGATGAAGGGTGGTCCATGTGGTAGGGCCTGCAAGGCCATCCTGGGAAAGGACCAGGCCCTCTTGCATACTTAATGGCCTGCAGAACAGAAACAAATGCTGTGTTCATAGGACAGAACAGAGCATCAACACCAGCAAAAAGTGGAAACCCAAAGAAGCAGTGCTCATCTCCAGCCAGCTTTCCCCCAACCAGGTTCCAAGAGGGCAGCATCAGCACCAAGGAGCCTCTACCCATACTTTGGGTTCCACTTACAGCTTTTGGGGTGGGTAATGGATGCTATGGGGATAAACTAGTGTCCTCACATGTCTGCAAATGTAGAACAGCAAGGGCTCTTGTCCTAGTGGATATATGGTGTGAATGCCAAATTAACAAAATAGCATATTCCCAATAGGAAGGCATCTAAGTCCAGGATCACCCACCACCTCTCATCCCCCTCCACCACAGAGGCTGCTTATTTGTAAGTGAAGAACTTCTGAATGGGAAGGAATGACAATCCCAGGCTCCCCACATGGAATTATAGCCCTCGTGGCTCAAAGCTCTGCCTCTAAGCCCCCACCTGTGCCCAATCTGCTTCTCTCCTGACAATGGGGTCTTCTCCTCTCTAGAAGTGCTATCCACGGGCACAGAGACACATAGAGGGGTGGGGATCCTGAGGTCCTGAAAAACATCTGGATGCATATTCTTAGAGAAACATGCTACCGATCTATACATGTTAGTTAAGCTTAGCTAATTTATTTTAATTCAGAAGTACTTCTCAGTTTAAGTACAGTACAATTTGCAAGGTAATTGTGTCCTTTAGAAAAATGAGCTGAAATTCTAAATAACAGAATTATCACAAATGCACATTTGTTTCTGCTGTAAATGTCCATGTTCCACCTGTAAGAGTGACCCAGGACACAAGAGAACCTGCTCATGGGAACACAAATAAAAGACACAGTGGGGAATTACAATGCAGGTAATTATGGATTTTCTCTTCTTCACCACTCATGTTCCAGTGCATGTTTCAAGGACAAATATGTCACAAAAATAGTTCAGAGTATTTACACCCAGGGCACACCTGAAGGGATTCTGGACAGCACATTCACCAAAAAAAAAAAAAAAAAAAAAAGGCTGAAGGGTGATGGGTATGAAATTTAGTTTGTCTAAGACCACTCTAAATGACACATACAAAAATCTAAGTTGGAGTGAAGGCAGTTTGCATTTTTGATTTTTGAACCATAAGGATAACCTTAGATTTTGTGAACACATTAATACCCTAGACAGAAACAGGAAAGGAAGAAACAGCAAGAGCAATGATTCCACACTGAGGAGGTCCAGGAAATATGAGGCATGCCAGGAGACTTCCAGGTGGAGTGTGGGGTCATCCTACTTGGGTTATTTCCAGGAACACACTGGAAAAGTCCTAAGGTCCTCACCTCTAAATACGTTTGGCTTCTAAACTTACTATAAGGAGTTGACAGGCAGAAAATAGAGAAGCCCATAGACACCTGGGTTAAGGTTGTGCATTTGGAGAATAAGAAAAACAAGCAGACGTATCATACAACACACAAAACAGACACAGTGCCAGGAGAGAGCACTGAACAGAAAAATGAGAGTTTCCCAGAAGAGTTTTACTGAAAACGGCCATGGTGTTTACCTTATCCTTCTTGGCCCTTTTGGTAGAGTCTGTGTTGTTCTCACAGGAGCAACTTCGGGATCTGCAAAACGCCCTAGAAGGGATGGAGGTTTATTCTGATTTGAGGAGATTGTGCAGAGATTAAAAAAACAAACCCTCCCCTCATTCCTCAAGCATCTTAAACTCTTTGGCCCAGTCAGATCCCAAGTCACATGCAGAGGGTAGCCCCACATGCTTCAGGTGATCCCAAGGCAAAGGGGAGAACCACCCCTTAAACCTTGATGAAGACCCATAAACGCCCTGGTTCAGGTGTTTTCATAACTCATCAAACAACTACGGATGGCTGGTGGCTCACCTGGACAGATACACCTTGGGCTGAGCCTCATGCCTCCCATAGCCCAGCACATGGACTGTGTACAGCACACATCTGCTGAAGCCCTATGTCTGCTTTTGTGTATACAGCCCATTCCATCTCCACAAGAGACACCTGTACCAACACAGGGTGTGGGAAATGACACAAAGATGATATGTCAATCAAGAGAAACTCAAGGAATGTGGTTATGGCGGCAAACGCTTTTCCCTCGCATTGCAATGGTCTGTGGTACCACCTCTGCACCTTGTCCAAGACTCAACAACAACAAAAATTAGATGAAGGTGCTTTGCAAGTCAACTCACACTGCTCAGATCATCTTATCACGTGCTGTACGTAGAGAGGTCTGGGGTGGTCCCCAGGGCCACCAAGGTTCAGGAGGTGGACATGCCCTATAGCCCATGGGGGGGACCTCTAGGGTAGGGTGTGCAGAATCTTCCAGTTAACAGAGGAGGTCCCCATGGATCCACGCTGCCCTGCAGAACAGAAGTGACAGCTATGTGCATATAGCAGACAAGAGAACCAATACCAAAAGCAGCTGAAACCCAGAGAAGAATATGTCAGCACCTGCCAACTTCTCAGCCACCAGGATCCAAGGGAGTAGCATCAGTACCTGAAAACCTCATCTCTCCCACTGGGTACCGCCTACAGCTTAGGCAAATAAATGCTGGAGGTTAAACCACGGTCACCACAGGTCCCTGCCCATGTCTTAGAATGTAGAACAAAATGATGCCATCTTAGAGGAATCAAAGAAGTAATTCCAGTCTAATGAAGTAGCATATTCCAGACAGTCAGACATCTATGTCCAGGATCACCCTGCATCCCTCCACTACAGTGACTATAGAAGCTCTGGTTTTGGCATATTCCAAACACAAAAAAAATTGAGTGCAAATAAACACCTGATTCTCTGCACACGAAATCACAGCTACTACTGGGGAAAAGTTCTGCCTGCCAGCCCCTCACTTTGCCTGCTCTGCTTCCCTCCCTGAGAAAGACGTCTTCCCCTTCTTTAGAAGTGCTTTCAAAGGACCAAGAGGCCACTGAGGAGTTGGAGATGCCTGGAGTCTTGCAGGAAACTGAGAAAGTGTTTGCTGTGAGGAACATATTACTTATCAATGACTACTAAACCCACATGTGTTTATCTGAATTCATAAGGAATTTTGATTTTGAACACACTACAAAGCACAGAGTAATACATCCTATGGGAAAAAAAGAGGCAGAAATTCATGTAACAGAATTAATGAAAATGTATTTTGATATTGGTATAAATTCCTAGGGATGTGTCAGCTCTAACATTGACTGGAGACACAACAGAGCCTGTTCATATGAACTTGTGTTCAGAATTTATTTACCTAAGATACAGCTTAAAAGGATTCCATTGAGGAGGGCACCTTTTGGGATGAGCACTGAGTGTTGTATGGAAACAAATTTGACAATAAATTTCATATATTGAAAAAAAAAGGATTCCAAACAGCTCATTTACCAACAAAGATGTGAAGGTGGTGAGTTATGACAATGACTTTGTCTAAGACCATTCTGAACTGTACAAGACACACAATATAAAAATGGAGAGACGTCTTTTTGAATTCCCAGTTAACAAATAGTCTTAACATGCTAATCACATAACCAGAAAGAGGAAAATAACAACAACACTGATCCCACAGAGAGGCAGTATAGTAGGAGTCAACAAGCCTAGATACTATAGTATGGACTGCAGTGTATCTTCCTGGTGTTATTTCCACAACACATGGGAAAAGCCATAAGGTCCTCAATCTCTAAGTTCCTTTGGCTACTAAACGTACCAGAAAATGATGACAGGCTGAAAAGAGAGAAGCCCGTAGACTCTTGGGTTAAGGCTGTGCCTTTGGAAAATAGAAACAGGCAGACATATCACACAACACACAAAACAGGGAAGAGGCCACAGCATGCTGTGCTGCAAATGAGGGTTTCCCGACAGACTTACAACTGAAAATGGCCCCAGCATTTACCTTGTCCTTTTCAGCATTTTTGGTAAAGTGCTTGTTTTGACTTACGGGAGCGACACCAGCTTCTGGATTGGCTAAAGGCTCTGGAAGGAGTGGAGGTTTTTTTTTTAAATTTTGGTAGACACTGCAGAATTCAAACAAACACCACATTTTGTGACATCTTAAACTTCTCTCCACACTCAGGACCATAAGGAAAGGCAGAGAATATCCCACAAGCCTCAGGTGACCCCAACGGTAAGGGGGAGATCCACCCCATCATCTTAATCAAGAAATCATAGGGCCCTTGTTCATGTCCTTCATAACTAGTGAAATAATTATGGACAGGTCAGCTCAAATACAAATCTGGAAATCGTCACCAAAACAACCATTTCTCACTATACATTAGGGGCAATAACTCACCATCTCATTACAGATAAAAATTAAAATGAGAGTGTCAATTGGTAGATAACATCAATAAATCCTCAACAAAAGAGCATGAGTATGTTTCTTCTGGCTCCAGGTGAATTGTTCAATCTTTCAGCTTATCTATAGGCTGCCTTCCATATGTGAGTAGGTATCACATAACTAATTTCAAATAAAAATGTACTTAGACTAATATTATAGTCAAGAGAAAAGATCTGACCCTGTCCCTTGAGGACATTTCCACAGGACCCTGGTTCAGGTGTTTTCATAACTGATCAAGCAACAGATCTCAACTAGCTAGAAATAAAGTTAGGGGTATGTCTCATCCCTCAGTGAGCCCAGCACATGGTCTCTATACAAGCTACATCATAAGAAGTGGTATGCATGTCAGCTATACAAGGCCTGTTTCTTCTGTATAAGAGACATGTGCTTCCCAGCTCACTATGTGGAAATGACAGCCCATTTCATGCATGTCCTGAGAAACTTAGAGAATGTTACAATGTCCTCAGTCCAGCTGACCTGAAAGACCTGTGGTGCCATCACTGCATCTTCTACAAATACTCAACAAAAAAAAGATGAAAAATGTTTTATAAGTCAACTTCTACTATTCATATCATCTTACCAAATGGTGGAGGTGGAGGTGGAGGGTAAGGTCCCAGAGGCCACCAGGGTGCAGAAGGGGTGGGTGGCCGATAGCCTATGAATGGAGATAAAGGGCAGCCCATGGGGTACAGTATGGAGGGCACATCTGGGAAATGAAATTTTCTTGAAGCCACATTGACCTGCTGTACAGGAATTAAATTTTTGAGATATGTTAGTGTAAAAGGTGAAAAATCCAACACTGACACCAACATAGCTGAACCCCAATGAAGCAGAAACAGTGCCTATCTCCTTCCCCTCCTCCTGGTTTCAATAAGGCACCATTAGTGCCACAAAACCTCACCCTTCCCACTGGGTCCCTCCTAGAGCTTCTAGGAGTTTGAGGAGCCAAGACAGTAAATTTCTGGCAGCATGCATGGTACTGGCTGTGCCTCCAAATGTAGGAAGGAAGTGGCCGGCCATAGAGGATCAGAGAGATAATTCTGGACTACTAAAGCAAGTATGTTCCACACACACAGGCATCTATTTCCAGAACTACTCTTCGCTCAGCCCTTCACCACCTCAATAGTTCCATTTTGGCATATTAAGAGCAGAAATAAGTAAGGGGAATTATGATTTCATATCATTCATTTAAATCTTTAATCCATCTCCAGTTAATTCTTGTGAGTGGTTTAACCCCAGTGACTCATGACAGAACCTTCTACAGGCCTTTCATGTCCGAGCTCTGATTCTCAGAACTCTGCAAGGTAAGTATGGCCACCTGCTCTAAATGTAAGCAAACAGGTTCTAAGAGGAATGAGGGTCAAAAGGCTTGCAAAAGGTGAAGCAGGAGTCCACACCAGCTCTGCCTGCAAGGTCCTGCTGGCAGCCTCTGCTCACCTGGCTCCCTCTCTGGACCTGCTGTCCTAAGGCACAAAGATCTACAGGGAGATGGCATCCTAGAGGCCTCAGGGGAATTGGGAAAGTGTTTTCTGTAGGAGCAATGCAGGAGTTAGTTAAGAAAAGTTATAGATATATGTGAATTCACAGGTAATGACAAATTTTATGTACACTATGACATACAGGCTAATTTTGTCCCATGGAAAAATATGTTTGGAATTTGAAATGACAATTAAAATGAATATGTTCTGATATCAAGGTTGAAAATACAGATAAGGTATGAAGAGAAGATGCCAGCTATGACAGCTACACAGGCCATAAAAGAACCTGGTTACATGAACATGGCATCAGCTCTTTTCCAGAAACCGGCACATCAGACCTGACTTTCACTCTCTATTCCTTCAGTTCCAGTGTACTTTTTCTACTGCAAATATGTCTTTCCTGATAATTCATAATATTTTGACTGCTTAAACAGCTGCAGTGACTCTACAAAAGCACGTTTCAAAAAGAGATGGGACAACTGATGAATTATTAAAGTTAGAAAAAGATGAACTTTGAATAAGAGCATTCAAGATTGCTAAGCACTCCTCAGAAAGTTGGGCTTTTCATGTTTTTCAGTTAGTGAAGATTACAATCGATGTTCTAAACAGGTTAATGACTAACTCTGGACAGAAAAGGAGTAAAATAACAACAATAATTCTGTTTCAGTTTCCAGGTACATTCCCATGAAAGGAGGTCTGGAAGAAGTGAGCCAGGCCAGGAGACATAAGGGTAGAGTGAGGAGTCATCCTCCTCATGTTATTTCCACACACACACAGTGACTGCCCTGTGGTCCTCAGCCTCTAAGCACTTATGGCTTCTGGAGGCACCACAAAGATGACAAGCTAAGAACAGAGAGGCCCTTAGGCTCTTGGGAAAGAGTTTTACTCTTTGTAAAGTAAATAACACCATAGAAATATCTCAAAATACACAAACTAGAGACAAGACCCGGAGAGAGTGCTGTATAAAGAGTTAAAAGATTCCAGAGAGAGAATTACAACTGAAAATGGTCACAACGTTTACTTTGACCTTCCCTGTGTCCATAGTAAGGACAGAATTCTTGTTCTTCACAGAAGCTGCGCCAGGCTCTGCATTTGATAGAGGCCAAAGAAGGGGTGGAGGTTTATTCTGACTTGCATAGACTGGATGGAAAAAAAAAACCCTCCATGCCTTCCTCCACCATCTTACACTGCTTCCTATAATCAGGTCCCTTACCAGAGACAGAGGGTTTCCCACAAGGCACAGGTGATCCCTTGGGACTCAGGGGACCCTTGAGGAAGGCACCAGAAGGCCTTGGTTGATACTTGATAATCAACCAACTATGGACAGTTCAGGGCTCAATTCATTGGAAATCAACACTAAAATAAGGGTTTCCTAATACACATCATGGGAAATGACAATTTATCACAGATTAAAAATTAAAATAAGAATGGTTTAGGATAATGTCATTAAACCGTCAGCATGAACAGCAACCTGTCCTTTTCTACAAGGCATGGGTGGGATTTTTCAAATGTTTTACTGTATATATCATTTGCCTTATGTATCTGACAAGGGATTATGTAAGTATTCATTAACAGAAATTGCCTTGACGAGACTAATACTATACTAATGAGGAAAGAAAAGGTTAATTCCATGTGGAACGACCTGCAAAGTTTTAGAGTTACACTAATAAAATAACATTAGAGGAGTGAAATTTCACAAGGATTTACTTTACTAATAGGGTACTATAGTTCACAATACACACAAAAAACTTTTTAAAGAATTAAGGGACTCCAAACAGAGGAAACAAATGTCTGCTTTCTTTATAGAAAGCATGTTTTCTATGGAGTATTTATCCAAAAGCCAAATCAAGGAAGCTCATCAGGACATACAGCCTACAATTCTTGCTGTTGTTCATGTTATTCATGTGAAACAAAAGAAAAAGCCTTCAACATTGCCTCAAGGTGGAAGGGGGGGATGACCCACATCCGTTCTAGCACCCACTCTCCAGTTAAGTGTAACTGGGAGGTTGCAGGGGGGCCCACAGTGGGTGGAGGGGCGTGAGCTCCACCACTCACAAAGGACAGACCCAAAGAGCCCTGCTGGCTGGGGGCATCTGAGGGAAACAGTGTCCTGTCACCACTGTGAGACAACCTGTGCCCTCTAGTAACCACTTGGGACTGTTTGCAGGAGACCGAACAATTGTACCCACTGGAACAAGAAACCGATTGTGTGGATGTTGCCCCAGAAGTTAAGCTGCTGCATTTCACAACGTGCTCCTTACCTCTCCATGGAGGTATCTTTCTGTCAGGTCCTGCTGCCATTGGTTTGTGCTTCCTGGATTCCTCTGGAAGCCTCTGTTTGTGGATGACTTCCAGTCTTGAAGATCGAGATGAATCAGTTTCACTAAGAGTTACCACACCCAGTCCCCCACTGGACACCAAACAGTTTAGCTTTTTTAAAAACCTCACAATACCCTTAAAAGAAATATGTCAAAATCCTGTACCTGCATTTCAAGTAGGCAACCTCCCTGCTCTGCTCTGCCATCACCTTCTCCAGCTCACAAGCCCTGAGCAGGGAGAAACACATCCACGTACAGCTGTGGCAGAGTACACACAAGAGGAGGAGAGAAAAACATTCTTACCCAGTTGTCCTGAGACACTTTCTCACAAAGAGCAATCTGAAAGAGTCAGCACATCAATAAAAACCCATGTGGAGGGATTCAGTGTCCCGTTATGATCATCGGCATTAGGTGCTGGAGGACTCAGGAACTACTGGGCAGCGTGCAGGCTACCTGGTGTCCGAAGGTGAGCTCTGACTGCTGCACCTGTTCTTGTGTTTCTTCTACTCTTCTCCTGGGAGTGCAATTGCTTTCATCAGATGAAGCACCATGACGTTAATTGGCCCAGGTTCCCATTATAAGAACTGAACTCTCATACACACGATCCAATCATATAAGACACATTTCACATGAGGAGGAAGAGTACAGAAAACTCAAAGCCATCGCTACATCAGCTTGGATTTATTATTTAATGCCTGTGGGGCTCTGCGTTGACATGGTCTCCTTACCAGTGGCGACAGCTCCCTAATCCTGCAATGAGTATCTTTCATCATGAAGTTCAAGTCTTCTTTCCCTTATATCCTTACCAATTTCTCACAGCTGCAACAAGTGGGTCTCTAAAATGGGATGGTCATACTTGTCCATGTGATTCGTCCTCCACCAAACTGCTTCCTGAGGTTTGTGATAATTTCTAGCACCTCCAGAAACGTGTGCGGGAACCACATTTCCACACAGTCTGGCCAACATTGGGGATCAGGAAATCTTTAGTGGCTTAACTGGTTTAGAATAATATTTTTAACTTAACATCTGGAAAATGTCACATTCTTCTTGAAGTCTCTATAAAAATAAATGTCTCCTGAATATTTGTATAGATTTGTGTGCTACTTGGGTCTAAACCCTGTACAAAGTTTCAAGATAATCCAATGGACGTGTGTGAGCTGCTGGTAGGAGCTGAACTCACTTGTAGTTCCATAGCTCTTCTGCAGCTAATTTCAGTGTCTCCTCTGCGGCTGACAGCTGCTTCTCCCCTCCCACCTGCTCCCGCTCTTTCAGTCCCAGCTTCCTATGAGGGGAAAGAAACATAGATTACCTGGTAGCCCATGTAAAATTCTGCCTTTCTTCTCTCCCCCAAATCTGAAGGCAGGACTCAAATGTCCCCTCTCCCTTTCCCCATAAAAGTACAGATCCACAAACACAACCGGGGGAAGCATTGATGCCCCCCCATTAAGGGACTAAACAAACTCAAACTCCAGCATGCTGGCAAGTCTTTGGAAACTCTGAGCTTCTCTTCACAGCTCTCTATTCCTACTCATCAATACATCACATAAATATAAAAAAGCCCACATGGGATGCACTAAGTGCCCTCCCAGGCTCAGGCTCCTGTGATTGGGACTGCATAAGCATATTTCTTTTCAATGTACAAAACCAAGCCTGACCAGCTCATCACAATTAAGCACATAAGGATGAAGCAGGGGTTCCTGACTTTTCTGGTTTCTCCCAAGAGCCCTGAATTTTCAATCAAGGCTGGAGCCATTACATTGCCATAGAGACATCTTTCTTGGACATGGTGTCATTCACACTGTACAATGACCTACTGGAAATTTCTACAGTTCACAAGGGAACTTCTGACACCTGCCTCAAAGACACCAGTTGAGAAGAATGCAAAATACACGGATGGAAAGAAAATTATGTGAATTGGCCCATCTTCAGAATATTGTCTTCCAGAAAAGGATTGCAGGGAAGGGAAGGGAAGGGAAGGGAAGGGAAGGGAAGGGAAGGGAAG